AAAAAAAAGAAAACAAGCCTTCTATTTCTCTGTTTAAATTATGTGTTCTTCATACATGGAGGAAGGTGACAAGAGTTATCCTGCAACAGAACAGCATTTCCCCAGGCAGGATAATGTTTACAGTAAACTGTATCCAAATAGTCTGCTTAGTCAAAACTATGCCTCTTTCATGCAGACAAGTTTAAAGCTTGGATCCTGTAAATAATTGTTAATAATCAAATAATTTCTAAATTGTAAATTTATGTGTTGTGTGATATCTGTCTTTACAGGACATCTGCACTGAAGCAGCTGTGAAAGTTGACATCTCTCCAGTTGCCTTGGACTTCTTCACCTTGGTAACTGAAGATGGCAGGGGTTTTCTCAACCCAAACAAGGTGCTCAGCGAATCAGAGTGCAGTCAAGTGTACTTCTTCAAACTGTGCATTAAAGCTTGTCATGGAATTGAGCTCAAAGATTTTGACAAGAAAGCATTTGAATATTACTTCCATCAGGTTTGTTTACAAAATTATATCAAACATGAAGGACCATGTTTGAGCACATCTCCAAACATTGAGAAGAGAGTTGAATATACAATACTTGGCTTTGTAATTTTGTAGAACTTCAATGTATTTTGAAATGTGAACGATCTGTGTCTTTTGTGTTTGATATACTGTATCGTCTCAATCAAAACTTGAACAAAGGAGAAAAAATGATGGAGAAGAATTATCATAAATTTTATGCTAACTAAGATGAGATATCCAAACACCGTCACAGTGATGATTCCTTCATTTAACCTTGTTGAACGATTAACGAATTTTTTATCTCTAGCGACAGATGCGACGTTTGGGTGACTTCATTGTTTATTGAATCAAAGACTTTCTTTTATTATTCATTCAACAAAAGATCTCCAAAGGTGCCACTTGGAGAACTGAGTTTTTTGCATACGTTATTTTTTGAAAACAGAAGCGCAAATCAACAAAAACAATGATGGAATGATGTTTTTCATGTTACATGTAAAACAAGTCAGTCTGCCAAAAATAATATTAGCTCAATCCTGCAAGAATCAGCCCAAAAAGGGATATATGCCCTTTTTGCACAAAATCCTTCAATTCTTTAAAGGGGCTTCCACATAGCAATGGCCACAAGAGGCTAATTTTTTCACCGTTTTGTGCTTGCACCAAATTCAAACTTAGGTTCCAATATTTATGGAATGTCCATTTACTGTCTGACATTAAGAACATGACTTGTCGTACATTGTAACATGTCCAAACAATGGAGGAGATTGTTGTTGTTTTTTTATCTCCTTCCAGTGTCGTCAAGACTTCTTGTCAGGAAGTATAGGTGAATTCAGCATTGAGAGCCAAAACTACTTGGCCCAACTTTTCCTTTATGAAATCATTTACCTGGCACGTAGACAAGCTGCACATGTATCCACCAAAGATGTTATTGAAAACCCGTAAGTACCTTAAAATAACTAAAAATGAATTTGGAATTTGCATGCACATCCTTTATTAGAGTGTCTGGTTGTTCTAGCACCAAGGACACTAATTGGTGACACAGACACAATTAAATATTATTAACAATTAGTTAAAAAATTAAAACTTAAAAACTTTAAGATTCATAACTTACAGCATTTTTCCTAAAACTACCTGAAATAGAAAATTATTCACAATGTATTTTTTACACAGAAGTGAGAAATAGGTTGAACATAATTTAATACTGACATTCTCTCACACATCCCTCCAACACAACTGACATATCCTTTTTTCTGATGTATCCTTTAATTAATTAAAAGGTTATTTAATTAAATTAATCTGTGGGAGGTGTGGCAGTGGCCTCATGTTGGTGCAGCTCAATACCAGATGGAGCGGTCTGGGTTGGAGCCCTGGCTGGAGACATTGTGTTGTGTTCTTGGGCAAAACATTTTACATTTTGTTCTCTTACAGTGCCTCTCTCAACCCAGGTGTTTTAATTTAACGCTTGGGGTAACCCCACGATAGGGGAGCATATCAACCAGGGAAGAGCGGAAATACTCCTAGTGGTTTCATTCTACAGAAACCGAAGATAAGCACCAGCCTGATTGGTCACTTGGCTCATATGCAATCCGGACTTCATCTTATAAAATAATAATAATCTTTTGTTTGTTTTAAAAGTTGAAAATTCATCTGAATTAATGGTGACAAATTTGTGATTTTGCTTTTAATGAAAACTCAAATGTTAATTTTAGAGTATCTTATTTGTATGAATTCAAAATGAAGACTGAGTCAACCTTTTAGAGCGGATATTGAGATAATATGTTTAAATGAAATAATTTTTCAAATAATTAATTTTTTACTGTATACTTTTCTGTTGTGAAAGTCTAGCAGTTTCTAACCTGAGGGCTTACTAGATCATTTACCATTCTCTCATTTTGCAAATTTTTAGGGGCCGTTATCATATTAAGAAGTTACTCCAGAGAGGAATATTTGCAGAGTACCCTCTAGATGAGACAAAGTCATTTCTAAAAGTGAATGTAGCCCAATATGAGGTTCTCACAGATAATCAGGTCAAATCTGAGTACATCAGTACCTTGGAAAGAGCTGAAGACTTTTTTGTGCACAAGTTTTCTTTTGAAAAGGTTTGAATGCAAAGTTTGTATTATCTTATTGTGTAGTTCCTGAAAATATCCTTACCTCTCCTACTGAAGGGGATTTTTCAAGAGCCTCCACACCTCTGGAAATTCCAATTAAGCTTGATACATTTCTTTAAATGTTTTGGTCTTAGAGAACCCCCCACCCCCCAGGGGGTGGGGGTTCTCTAAGAAACCTGGAGGTGCTCTAAGAAGGTAATCTCTGTGGAGGCGCAGTGGCCTCATGGTTATTGCGCTCGACTCCGGATTGAGTGGTCCAGGGTTCGAGCCCTGGTCCGGGACATTGCGTTATGTTCTTGGACAAGACACTTTACTCTCACAGTGCCTCTTTCCACCCAGGTGTATAAATGGGTACCAGGGAACGTAGTGCTGGGGGTAATACACCCTGTGATGGACTAGCATCCCATCCAAGGGAGAGTAGAAATACTCCTAGCCACTTCATGCTACAGAAATCGGGATAAGCTCTGGCCTGGTGGGCCACTTGGCTTGTATGCAGACTTTACCTGTTACTTAAGTTACCACCCCCTAGGGTGAAGTCTACCCTCCCCCCAGAAGGGTATGGATATTTTCTGGAACTGCACATTAGCCAAATTTAAGGGTTGCACAGGGATAATATTGGCCTTTTGGCTTAGTGGTATGAATCAGTTACATGAATGCATGTACCTGAAAGGCTATATAAATATTCTCCTAGAGCGGTCTAGACCAGCCTTGGTAAATAGGGATTTTATTCATAACTATTAAATGTGGTTGAGTGAGAGAATACCACAAACTGTTAGTATTGAATTTAAACATTTATTAATGAACAGCTGGGAAGTATTACATTTTAGTTTTCTCAACACAGGTTTACCAAATTGTTTTTAGTCCTCTCAGCTGTCTTAGGCGTGTAATAAATAGAGATTTTATGGAACATGTGTGAGGTCTCAAAAGGAAAAATAATGAACAGGCTCAGTTCAGTTTTTCTTACATGCGAGCAAGGAGGTATGTTCACAAATTTTCCAAATAAAAGGGATTAAAGCAAACAATAGAATCTGTGACCAGTATACTCCAAACAACTTTCAATCAAGTTTATTCATGATTTGTTTTCATTGGATAACTTAATTTATTATAATCCATCAAATATTTTAACTCGCGTGCAATTGGTCTAAATGTGTCACACAACTGAATAGGCCCCAGCTAAAACTGGGGAATATCCATAAAGTGATATTCCCCAATTTTCAAAACTGCGTGTGTTGCAAAAAATATTTGAAGGATAATAATCACAATTACACTCTCAGAAAACTGTTTGCTTCTTGGAACAGATGATGTCTGTGGACAACTATCCAAACATATTTTCATGCCAAATGGAGGCTATTGTTTATTTAAACAACGGTTAAGGTACACAGATGGGTTCTTTTTACACCTTTTGGCATAATTATAAACACTTTATTTATCTGTTTCAAAAGTCACGTTGAGAACAGTGTTTATTACCTCAAATGCTGACTTTGGTAGGAAAGAAAATGCTAATAGATGCTGCATTTTTTAAACTAGGTTTATGGCCAAGTGAGTAGAAAGTTTGAGGTTCTTGTCAGTGCCGAATTTGGAATCAAGAAGAGGAGATTAGACATTGAGAACAGTGTAAGTTTCATATACTGCAGAAAGTGATAACAAATATATACACCTGTAGTATGATTTATTATATAATTTAGTTGTATCTAGTAATTTTCAAGCGAGTGTTGAAAAACAAAAACCAAAGTAATAACTCTGGCTGATCAAAAACAACACAGAGAATACAGTAAACAAATCAAAACTCAAAGTAATATGTGTAGCTTGTGCAAAGCATGGGAAAATGACCTTGAGCATGTCACGATTGGCTTTGGTTTTACTTCTGATTGGATGAAAAAGTGGCGGAACTGAAACTTTTAAGCCAGTTGCGTTGAGTAGTTCATGCAAAACCAATTACTTTTCGACACTCAAATAAAAACCGCTCTGTGCTAATGATAGTAATAATCAATGGTTGATTATTTTTAGCATAAGATTGTGATGATTTGTTGCATTAATATTTATTTCTAATATTTCTTCTTTTTATTCTAACTGTAGCTTCCTGAGGTTATAGTGGAAAAATTCTCTGACATAGAAGGATTAGAATATGACCGCATGAGGAATGTTGTCAGAATTTTACGAAAAGAATTTAAAACAGAGGTACGATATATCGTGTTAATTATATATTAAACACCAGTGAAATACCATGCAAGTAAACTTTTGGGCAAAAACATGACATCCTCACACATGAAAACAACAGGTTATCTTCACACCTGAAAAGATCACCTTTGCTATGGATACATACCATATGCATATTAAATTTTCACCTTTCTTAGCAAAAGTGAAATGGTTTTGGTATTTCATTGGTGTGTATATTAACAAAAATAGAACATTAAATGGCTGTTTGGGGATACAAAACTTCTTTTCTCATGTTGAAAAATATTTTTCTTGTTTGCTGTGCTCACTCGTAAAATATTTGTTAACACCTGAAGATAAATTTTGTATCTCAGTGCAGCTCTCCTCTATTTAGCTTTTAAACCTGTTTTTGGACTATTACATCTACTGTTCATTTGAATTGTAAAACTGACAGAGAGTTTTGTAGTGTATGGAAGAAGCTAATGGAAGGGATTTTAAGTGTCAATACCTTTTAGTAGCTTCGCAATACCTGTTATTGCAGTTATCAGAGGTTTGATGTGCAAATGAGGTGTGAAGATCAATTCTACTTTGCACTGACCCTTTCACCTCATTTATATGTCTTTTTAAACATGAGAATAGTTGACCTCAAATTCAACTGCAATCACAGCTCTTGTATGCAGCAAGAAACAAAAAGACTAGTGGGGTGTGTAGGAAAGGGGGTGTAAGATAGATAGATAGATAGATAGTAAGGACACTTTATTTAACCACAGTATAGCTTAATTGTTCACGAATTTATGCAAGAATTTTAATTTGGAACTGGTATTTCCATTAGCTAGCCCCACTATTTACAGTCTGATGGATTAAACTTAGCTAAAGGGAAAAATAGCACTCTAGTAAACTTATTAATAATTAATATATGCACGTAGAGGAGGCCTGCAATGGACTGGCATCAGCTGATGACTGTAGTTGTTTTGCTTAATACCTCTAGTATTTAAGAATAGACTTGACATTGAGACAAACTCCAATAAGAAATCGATCAATTTCAGTTTTAAGTGGACAAAAATCTTGTACCAGAGTAATTTTAAGTAACTATATTTTACAGTCCTTTTTGCATTTTCTAAAAGCTAAAGAATAAAAACGGTTGCCTGAAATAACACCAAAAACAATTTCCCATGGGAACTCGAGAAACTAAATTTCAAAAATCAGAGAAATTGTGCAGCCACAGGCAAAATTTCATCATCAGTTTGATTCACCATTACTTTCAAGTGTTTCATATGAACTTGAAAATGTGTTTTCGCCATCTGGTGTTATTAGATATGATTTCTTTTGAGAAGACATATAAAACTGTCGCACAGAAGTTTGCAATACAATGTAAATAATCTTGGTACAAAGTTTTTGTCCACTTGTTACTCAAACTTCTGGGAGATTCCCTCTTAAACCTGAAGAACTTTGCCAATTTTATTGGACCCTTCTCTGTGATCTCTCATCTTGGAGAGACCTTAGCACTCTATGCAAGCACTGTACTTTGGGGATATATTATATGATATCTGCTTTGTGGTTTGCAGGAACTGACAGCCAGCTCTACACAAGATGCAGATTCCCTTTTGACATTGATTGAGGGATATTATAGACTGATGGTTAACCAGTACAAGCAGCTCAATGTACGAGGTAGGTATGATGAATTAACATCTCCTTATCTCCCCTATAACTATGACTTTTTAATATTTAATATACAGATTTAGCCAAGCCTAAAAGCAGAGCTCCTGCTTACAATTATATTAAGTTGACCTGGCTTGATCCTGCGATCCAATCGAAAACCATTACCTGGGCAGCAGTCAACACAGGTCAACAGATACCTTGTTTTGACAGGTGTCAATTGACCATAACATGGATGTCTAAAATCAAAGATGTTCACTGTAAACCAAGGCTGCATTCCTTGGTCAATCAATTTTTTGAGTATGGCCGCCATGCTGCACAACGTCATCATCACAGAGCACATGCACCCACAATCCATGCCAGTAGCCATGCTGGCCCTTTAATGGGCCGCAGGAGCTCCACTATGGATATTATTTGGAATTAAGAATTGGGCTCTGCCAGTAGTAATTTGTATCTTTTTTGTCAGGTTCAAAGAGTGCAGTTGCCATACCATGTCATGGGCCTATCTTGTAAGTGTTTTGGATGCTTTTCAAGACAAACATTTTACTATAATATTAATTGTAATAATGATATTATTAATAAGAGTTTTAAGGCCGGATAAAAATTCTCTTTTTGGGCCTAGTGGCCAGTGAGTAACACCTATTCTATTGTGCAGTTGCAGACAATGTTCATACACCACAGAGGCAATTGGAAATTCCAGAAGGGGTGGTGAGGGGGTCAAAGACCCAGAAAATTCCAGAGGGTAGGGGTTTGGACGGTGAATTTAAATTCCAGTTGTCCTTCAGTTCAATATAGATTTAAGTGTCGATCTAGCAGCTTCTCACAACTTCTTCCATACCTACTAAGTAGCTTAGTAAGTAGATTATCTCTCACAGTCCTTAATTGTGTTCCTACAGACGTAACAAGGCGGAGTATCTCTTAAAGAAAGGACCCAGAGAGAATGGTTCATTTATGCTTCGAAGGAAAAGAAATAACCATTGGAACCATGTGCTGTCAGTGTATGTGGCAGACAAAGTCATGAACTATGATATTATCTGGGATGACAACACTTCCCCTGGGTTTTTTTACCTGAAGGATGCAAAGAGAGCATTTTCAGACTTATTAGGACTGGTTGAACACTACAAGCAGTCTGCGGTAAAACTATTGTTTAAATAAATAGTAAAAGTTATGTATCAAACATCACCTGCCATGCAAGGGTATGTGAGAGGAAGCTCAGCATTTCTTCACAAAATGTAAGGCCGCCTTCTTGATTGTTTGAAGCAGAGGAAGGTTAGAGGGAGAAAAAAATTCTACCAAGGGGTTGGGTGATAGGCATGCAAGAGGAATAAAGGGGAGGGGAACTGGGCATCTAATCAAGGGGTATTTCTCACTTCAAAGGCCTTTAACAGCCTTTTTCTGGCCTTAGCAGCTCTAAAGTTTACTGAAGTCTATCTTTTTGAGTGAAATTGCAACCAGATTAAGGTTCTCTTTCAGCCAATGAAATTAACTAGCAGCCAGCACTCAGAGATGCCAACCTAAAAACATTAAAATCCAGGATGATGTGAAGTTTATATGAAATAATTCATATATGAACTGCAGTTGTAGATGAAAGTGAAGAATGATCATCGCGGTTAATCTTCCAATTTAAGCAATTGGAAAGAAGAAGCCTGAAAAAANGCGGTTGTAGATGAAAGTGAAGAATGATCATCGCAGTTAATTTTCCAATTTAAGCAATTGGAAAGAAGAAGCCTGAAAAAAAAAAAAAATCAGAAATCCAGGATATCGGCAATTTTTCCTTCTTGGACCTAAAAGATGTAGAACTACACCAATTCAACCAAAAAAGTGCATCAAATATTTCAAACCCCCCCACTGAAAATGCCAAAATGGCCAAATAAGAGTGAGAAAGGTACTTTAAGTGCTGTCTTTTAAATCTGGGAGATTGGGAGATTTAGTCTGTACGTGTATCTCAGAGACTCCCAGGTTATCATGGAGAGTTGGCATAGATGGGCCTTGAGCAACATTCCTATTATTGCTTTGATATGTTGAAACTGGCCTGTTATCTAACTGCATTTCTGATAACAGGTAGAAATGCAGGCAAATCAAAGGAGGAATTGACAGAGTTATGTGTTGTATTTAATCTTAGGATGGACTACCTGTCTGCTTAAAAGAGATACTCAAACCAAAAACAGAAGGTAATAAAATTCACAGCAATTAGTTAGTTGTAAATATGGGTTATTGACCAAGCGTGAGGTCACGTATATGGACCGAGATAAAGTCAAGGTCCATAAACATACAATAAAGAACGACGCCAACCATCTTGACAGAACAACTTGGTCAATAAAGGATTTATTATATGGAGAAACAACACAATTTTGTTGCAGGATACAGCGGGAAATCCTGAGCGGCCGGGCAATTTAGCGCCATCTTCCCTGCTTTGGTGGCCAATCACAACACAGAATTCGGTTCATCTTGCCAGCTCACAGAGCTAGTCATATAATAAAATGGGTTCTCCTCTAAGTTACTAAGAAAACATACCAACTAAATGACTAGCAAATTCCCCATTGATTGCGTATATTACTGATAAATAAAAATGAATTATTGATGAAAGTAACTACTCCTCAAATAAGTCAACTCCAAACACTTTGCTCTCACAGTGCCTCTTTCCCCTTAAGTGTAGGGGCAACTTTAATCCTAGGGGTAACCATGCAATGGACTAGCATCCCATCTGGGGGTGTAGAAATGCTCCTAGTTACATTTACCAGTGAACGTTACAGGACCCTATTCAGCCTCCGCCATTTTTTATGCCATCGAAATTATTGATATTGCATGGTGAAGCAAACTCTTATTGCTTTACAGTAAGTTGTGTTCCTGAAAGTATGTCTAATTATCTTTTGTAGTTTCACGGCGATTTCCTTCATTTCTACATGCTCCAAATAAAACATATTAAACAAAACAAATGTGTGGTTGACTAGGGCCCTTTAAGTGCCAGCATGATGGGTCACTAGGCTAGAATGGAAACCTTTCATCTTAAATGACAACCCCTGCTTATTTATTCTAGGTTTAGCTGCATTGTTGGATCGACAGGCCTTGGTACCTGCAGTACCCGAAGTCCACCTCATCAATGATGCCAACCAAATTGACAATTTGATACTTGAGCCTGGAAATTCATTGTCGGAATGGGTATTGAAACATCACTGTTACCTGGCATTTAGCTTTAACAACAAATTACTATCACTAAAAGCTCTTAATAGAGATGTTTTCAAGTTGAGTGTCGTAAAACCAAAACCAAATTGAATGTAATCACTCTTGCCAATCACAAAGGACATAGATAATCCAGTGATGAACCAATCAAAACATGACGTAAATACGTGTAGCTGGTGTGACGAGAGGGAAAACATGTGCAAACGAGTCACAATTGGTTTTGGTTTTTAACTTCTGATTGGATGAACAAGTGGCACAAGTTTTTAAGCCGATGGACTTTTCTACCGATGTCACAAAAAATTGACAAATATTTTTCCTATTTTTCGAATAAATAAAAAACCACCTTCATACTTCAATATTTATCATGCCGAATTTAGTAAATCTGCAAAGTTTTATAAGAAATGGTTGCAAACTTATAAAACTATGGAACCCTAAAACTTACGAGGAAATGATTTTATTCCAGGGGACAAACATTGCCCCCCTGGCACACATTTCTATGTAAAAATTGGAAAGTTACGGGTCCCAATTTGCTGGATAGCAAGCTTTTCCATGCAGCCTACAAATCGTTTAAATTTTCAAACCTTGGCAAACCTCAGGGGCCTCAATTTCATCGCATTCTTACAATCACTCATTTGTTATATGACAAGGAAAATTAACAATGCGCGGGTGATAATTTGCACTGCAATGCAAGTTAAAAATTAACTATGAAGTGGCTTGCTCCTAACCAATCACAATGCAGTAGTTTTCTCAATCTTATAATTAGACATCATATGATTACCATTTTAACTGAAGAACATTTAATTCCTAGGGTGAGTTTGGTGAAGTCAGGAAGGGATCCTTTTGTGCATCTGCTGAAGAACAGCTCTGCGTCATCTCTAGGGCATTGGTGAAGCCTATTGGAAGGGAAGTAAGTCTTGTTCAACATTTTTGTATCTTGTTTTGTTGAGTGATCTGTTTTCTTGATGGCAGTGTTTCACTGTTTTGTGCTGAGTAATCCGTAGAGACCAGGCCAAGTAATTTTGTCACTCAAAATAACCTTTGTACTCTGGTAGCGTTAAATTATATTTTAATTAATAAGTGACCAGAGATTCATGAGATATGAGGAAGCCAAAACATGACCAGTTACTTTCATACGCTACAGTGACCGTACATCTCTATCAAGTACTTTAACCTGATGAATTACTTTAAAACTCATTAGAAAGCTGTTTTTTTCTTGGTAATGTACCATTATTAAGCTTCAAATATTTTGATAGGGTTTTCCAACTTCAGCATTCAAAATAATCCTAGTCAAAGTAAAAATATACAAACTATTCCACTAGTGTGAACTTTCCAATATCATTTGGTAGTCAAAATTATGATAAAAACGTTCGCTGGCTAAAAAATGTTCAAAAGGAACATGAGCTTTCGGCTGTCAATCTACAGCCTTCGACGGATAAAAATGGAATGCAAAATGATAAAATATATGCAAGAAAAGGCGAGATAAAAATACTAATAAGGTACAGTGAAAAACATTGTTTTGATTTGTCAGTGTTCTCAATGATTATCTTCTTTTTGGTTGCAGAAAACCAGTCGCTACAAGGAAGCAATGGGAACCTTTTCGGAGCTTCAGAATCCTTACTTGACTCAATTTTATGGCATTACTGAGACAGAAAAAGCCTTGATCTTTGTGTTCGAGTTCGCAGCAGAAGGTCCTCTAGACCAGTACATCAAGAATGAAAGGTAAAGTTTTCCTTGACATGTGATGCCTGCTCATAAAGTTTGCTTTAGAACAACACACAGTATCTAACAATTATTCCATGAGCGTGCATGGGATTAATGAGATGATGGATAGCCAACGAGTTGTGCATTGCCTAATTGGCTTTGAACAATCTCACATCCAACAAGCGTGAGTGGAATAATTGTCTTATTAAAAACTCCCCCAAAATATAGAAAACTAAACTAAAATAAAAATGCCCCCAAAAGTCACACGTGCGCTTACCATATTTGCAGAGCATGGTATAATGGCTCATATACCATGATGGCTAAGCCAAAACTCATGAATTGCATTATCCAATGATCCAGTTTTTTAATTAATGTAATTGGCCAATCAGAAGAGTTTTTGACGTGGTCCTTATGATAGCAAACCTTTTGCACTCCATTTGGTCTAGATGTTGTTGTTGTTAATGCTGTGTTGTTATTGGACAAGAATACTTGTTTTCCAAATCTTTGAAGGGGCTGACTATTTTTTTTTTTTACCAATGCTGCTTTTCTAGTACAAAGGAAAATGGGATAACCAAAGGGACGGTCATTTCGTATGCTGCACAGATTGCAGAAGGAATGATGTTCCTACACAGCAAGGTAAGTCAGAAGCCAGTGAAAACTGATAACATATGTAGTAGGAAAATGTATAATAAGAGCCTCCACAGACTAGATTTAGTTGTTGACAACTGTTTCTTATCGGTAACTAAATGTTATCGAGAACTAAAAAACGCAGTGTGTGAGATGAGTTGTCGGCAATTAAACGTTAACTTTTTAGTTAAGAAAAATAAGCCAATAATTACTAGAAGAAATAATAGTCTAGGAATAGTTTAGTTTAGAATTGAGAATTTTTCAAACCAACAAAGTAATTAATTATAGAAATTATTTTAAAAACGTGTTATGTCTTATAAGTACTAAACAGCAGATGGTGTTCCATGTTCTCTAACAAAATAATGCACGCTTGAGGTCTAGAAAAACTTGTGGACGCATATAGACTGAACGCGAATACGCTCAGCAGTTTTTCTAGACCTCTAAAGTGTATTACATGTATTCAAGGCTAAAACAACATCTGTGAAAATGATAGTTGTACTGCACCCTGTTGGTTTTACAGATACACCGACGAGAAAATAACACAAATTCTATGAAGCCGTTACGTATCTCAAGGAGTGTCGCATATAAAAGTTCGCTACATAAAGTTAACTCTGAGTTTAAAAGCTTCCTAAAAATATTATACTGTAATGTAAATATTTCGGATGCTTAAAAACTTCGGACGGTCTTCTTTTCTGACCCTTTTTGTGTCCGAAATTAAAATCGTCCGAAAGTTTTTTTCGAGTAATGTGGCATAAAAGAGCGAAAATATTTACGTCTGAAAATGGGCAGTAATTGCGATGACAACACAACATCCAGAAGATACGTGCTCTATAATTTGCAGCAGTGCATATAAAAAAATTCAAGATGCACCCTAAACAACAGAGCAGGTATACAGAAGCTATATTCTAAACTTAAATAAAAGCTCAGCCATGATAACTTACTTACATTTCTATAATATGTTTATTGTGGTTTGGATTTCAGAACGTTGTTCATGGCCGTCTGAATGCACACAATGTGCTTGTCGCCAATGAAGAATGTATCAAGATCAGTGACTTTGGTCTGTTGTACCTTGTACAGAATGGGCAGAGCTTCTTCCACTCTACCAGAAGAGGATTTGGGTGGGTAACAAAAGCTGTATGGAGTATAGATTTTTGGGCGCTCTCATTTGACCAAAAATTCCGATTTGCATTTCCGGAAATTTCCTGTGGCGAATGGAACAACATTTTCCTCGCGAGCTGTACTCAAATTATGGAAAATTTCTCACCGGGAATTTCTGCTCCATCTGATTTTCCCCGCGGAATTTCTGGAATTTTCAACGGAATGGTTCACATTTCGGAAATTTTTAAACAGTCATCGGATTTATTGTAAAGTTTGGGCCCGTATGCACAAGGCATATTTTTGTTTATTTTGTGAAAAAATCTGTCATCAGTTCCGTGAAACAAATGCACACAGTGATTTTTTTTTTATTACCAAATTTTGCAAGCCTTACCAAACTTAAAAGGCGCCGGCATCCTGCTTCGGAGCAGGACGAATTTTCGTCAGGCGTGACAACTGACGGAGTTTTCAATTTACCCGGCATGGTCTGAAGGAAAACATCAATTAAGTAAATTTGATCTCACTTTGATCTCTCTTTAATCTTTGACCTCGTCATGTGATTGACACTTTGTGGTCAACAGATATTTTATTGTGTTTGAGTGCGTCCACGATTACCAAATCGAAAATTTGACGGAGGCAACTTTTGTCGAGATTTTTAGCAAAACCAAACAAATTTTGTCAGCATAGTGCCTACGGGCCCTTTCCAAGGAATGTTTGGTTGAATGGAAATCACCCCTTATCTGATCTTGAAGTTGATTTTCACTGAAGTTGTCAAAACTTCAGTTATCAGGAACAGTCCTTTTTAGATTTCTGTCACTTAATGATGACCGCATTAGATGAAGACGGAATTCCAAAGTTTGCAACGTGTAAGTCAACTGACAGAGGTATTTTTCAGTTGAGAGCAAAACGGGTTTTCATTATAAGGGGGCACATTTTTAAGTCTCTCTTTTTCTTGAACAGTGGCTGGATCCAAAGGATTTCCTAATATGTCCAACACGAAAGACTGTGTTTGACCACATTTCCAAAGACCGAGAAGAGAATTGAAAATATGACGCGTAGCGGAGTATTTTTGACGAACTTCGAGGTGTTTGGAAATGTGGTCAAACATTGTCTTGAGTGTTTGATGTATCTTCTCAATCGAAACTAAAACTGAGGAGAAAACAGACAATAAAATCGTAAAAAATCTATGCCAACTAAGATCAGATATCCAAACCACAGTCACAGGAATGACTTCCTTTGTTTAAACTTGATGAATTATTAATGAGTTTGAAAATATTATGTCAAAGTGCATCTTACCGAAAGCATAGTTAAGTTAGGAAGGCCGGTAAACCTCAGAGAACGAGACAAAGAGGCTAAGAGTTTTGTTGGAAGGTCCTTGACCTTGTACATCTTTTGTTTTATGCTCATTGACTATGCATGAATTACATAATCGCAATGCTTCTATTGGTTAGTTGTACCACACGTAACTACTTTTTGTGTTTTGCCAAGTTTTGTGCAGGGTCAAGCCCCAAAATAGCAAACAAAAAGTAAGTTAACATACAACAAAGAACTTTGCCAAGTTTCCCAACCATTTCCTTCAATTAACTACGACTTAAGTTAAAATATATATATTTTTTTATTTAACGTGACTTGAATAGCTACTGCTGGTTCTCGCCCCAGTCCCTGCACGATCAAACGTTCACTATAGAGAGTGACATTTGGACATTCGGAGTAACACTCTGGGAAATTTTTGCTATGAAAAAGCCTTTCCACTGCTCTCTCGCAGAAGAAGTGCTGTCAGAGAACGAGGTAAGTACCTCCTCTGTCTTTTGTTTGAAGGCATTTGTGAGGTTTGAATTTGCTATCATGTAATAGGCGGAGATATCAATGCAGAACGAAATCGGCGTGAATGTAGACAGACGACTGACAGACAGACAGAAAGACAGAAAGACAGACAGACAGACAGACAGACAGACAGACAATATTAAAATGTAAAGCTAAGAATAGTGTGTCAACATTTTGGTAGTGCAGCTAGACATGTATAAACTGTACCGTCAAGTTACAGTCAGCATGGTTTGAAGTCTTGATCTTCACTAAATGTTAAGGTAACGTTGGAGCCTTATATATACAGTTAAGTAGGTACACATTTCTCAGTTTTTGTTCCCCTTTGTGTATTGAACTTTAATACTGGTTTACGGTTTGTAGACTTGTAGTTGGATTAGTAAGCTGCACTTTAAGCTGTTCGTAGAGGTTTCATGTTCTGTTCTCAATAGTGTCTTCACGAGCATTGTTCAACAGTTTTGCCGACATGCAGTAAAATTACAGTGGCTCAGTGGTTGGGTCATCTAGCAACTCTCGTAAGGTCTCACACAAATGGCTCAATACCCTTTGAGAAGACAGTAGAACAAACAACAGAAACAATGCCCCCTAGCCCCAAAACAATAACGGCTGCTGCAATGACGACAAATAGAATTACAAGCTTACGAGAGCTGCCACACTTCTACAGTGCTTATCAATAGTAGTGCGAACCGGGTATGTGTTACTGGTCGGAAACAAAATCGCTTTCAATTGCTGCTTACCCTGAATTACCAGTCTCCGAATCCCACAACAATGATTGTTTGATTAATAGATAGAATCATTTCTTTTACAGATTATTAACCGGTATTTGAAAGGGCAGTATCTCAATCCAGAAAGGTTAGTGAAGCCCTTTTGTGACTGAATCGTCAAACCAGCCTTTGTCGTCTGTATCAGGGAAACATTGATTGAGCTCTACTGCTTGTTACGTAGAACTGGTTTTCCCATGAGGGAATTATAATTTTTGGTCTGTTGCAATATAAAGCCCTAAGGCCCGCCATTTTCTTAATTGTTATACAACGCATTAACCAACCATTTTGACAACGTTGAAACAGGTTCTTACAATTTTTTTAAGACCTTTTTATTTTAATAGAATTGGTTATTAAGCAATAATTGAGGAGAACAGTTTCGTTCATTCATTGGTTTTTGACACCACATTTGTGCTCGCCTCATTATACCTGTGATTTAAACCTTTGTTTTTCAGACCAAACTGTCCACCCAATGTTGGAAAGCTGATAAAACGGTGTTGTGAGCCAGAACCAAAGGTTGGCCTGTTCATATTGTTGCTGTTAGTGTTATTGATGTAATAAATATGATCAACACAGTCATTCGCATTTTGTGTAGTACTGGGTTATATGTCATTCACTCAGTTGACACTGAGAAGCGCCAAGATTTTTTCCGTTTAAATTAAAAAGAATCATTGAAAAGTAAATTCCAAATCTGCTGCTTGAACAGCATAAGTATACAAGGCAGGGGCCGATCTAGGGAAGGGGCCGAGGGGGCCACGGCCCCTCTTTTTTTCATGTATTTTCAAAGCATTTTTGTCAACAACAACACCAGTCCGTCTAACCGTCTTTTGAGTGGTTTTATTCGATCAGGCTTTCTAGACTTGCATTCTGCATTCGACCTCTCTTTCTGAATTTTCTGGATCTGTCCCTGCAAGGTATTTGTAAGTGTGAGTTCATCTTCATCATACTTCTACCTTGGGCACTTAGACGTTGGTTTAAAGTAATTAAGACAATCAGCATAACACAATTGTTTCCTTAACATTTTCAGGACAGAATGTCTTTCCAGGAATTGGTAACAGAGCTACGATCACCTGAATTAGGTGAGTGTGATCAACACCCACTATTCTGTTGTGTGCTGTAAGTGAACGTCGCAGATTTCAATGCTATGATCAAGAGTACTACCACATTGTAAAGCTGTGGTCCTAACTGACTAACTGGATGTTTCGTATTGGCCACTTAACGAGTCCATAGGTGTCCTTGCAACCATTGAATAAAATTTTAATTATTGAAGGCGAATTGTCTCTTTATGGGAAGAGCTACTTTTTGAATTCAGTATGTTTGGGATTATTCCTTCAAAATAACGTTTTTATGCAAATCAAAAGCATGAAATGTAACCATAGAGGGCGATGTTTTAGGTTGTTAGTTTGTGTCACCCTCCTTCAGAATTAGAAGATGTGAGGCAGAGCAATTCACCCCTCTCCAAAAATGGTTTACAGATAAAACGGCGGAAACGGTTGAAAAACAACTCAGATTGGAATTAAATAAAACTTTTTATATACAGAAAAATGATCTGTGCCGTGAAGGTTGCAGACAAATAACTTCTATCATTCAGTTTCAAAATTTTACCAGAGTATCTTAGAATTAACTGCAGCACTTTAGCCGTTTTGACGGTCACATCCAAGAACGTTTTATATTCCACTGGTTCCTCAAATTTGGGATTGGCGATTGGTGTTTAGGATTGGTGTTAGCATTCCCACGAATTGTTCTGCTTTTCTACAGATGGACTAATATTATTGACAAGTTTGATTTTTCTTTGTCAGTTTCTGATGACGAAGCACAGGATCTTCTCCTCCCCCCTGAAATCACACAACTGGAAGATTGGGAGATTCCATTACCAACTCAACAGAGTAACCTGGAATTAGAACCTATTCCCAATGACTCTCAGGTATACCTATATATTTTCTGCTGAACAATATTCATGATCAGTAATCAAATGATTTACTTTGCACCTTATTTAATATGAAAACCCACAACATTGCACACAATTTAGCAACTCTAGCTTGCACGCCAACTCTGTGTGGATTTAACGTGTCTTTTCTCATGTTGATAGTCTTCCATCCGCTGTGGAGACACAACCTGAGCTTCTTCCTGTGTGTTCTTGTGATGACGTTGGTCATCATGATGAGAAGGGATTGAGCAGAATTTTAATATCTTCTGATCAGAATCCTCACTTCTCTTTGCAACGTGCACACCAGCTCTGTGCGGATGTTATTTATCTTTCAATGGCTTTCGGTTCGTTAGCAAAACCTGTCACTTGTGCATTCACTCGGTTATGCAGTAAATATCGTTTAGATTTGCTTTTAAAAACAAATTAGATTTGATTCCATCGGTTTGTTTATTATTGAATATTGGCTTATGTCAAAAGAGTATTTAGTTTTTTATTTATACTACACACAGTCATTTGTGCTAGCCTTACGTTGTATCAGTGCTTGTGATTGGTAGATTAAATGTAAACTTAAAGACGGGTATTGATTTATCGTCCTTCTACTCTTTTTCCTTTCCTACTTGTAGGCCTCTAATGGTGACTACTCTTGCTTACCTGAGAATGTGGTCCATGATGAAGTTTCTGCTAATGAAGATCGCAGCCATAATCTTCCAGGCATTTCACTGGTCACCAGCATTTCCTTGTTTGACAATACTACACCCAAAAAGCAAAGCCTCTCAAAGACATTTTCTCATCCTGGTTTAGTGTATGCATATGACGCTGAAAGTACTCTGCCGTCCAAGGAACCATTCAGTTTCCTTCCTGTAAGGAAACCAAGTATCACGAGAGTCAGCTCTTGTCCTCCCTCGATCCAAGCAGGCAGTGATAATAACAATGAAGGGCCAGAACTTACAGAAAGACAGCAGGAAGAAAGAAATGTCCCATGTCCCCATCCAAGTGCAGAAGTGAACGTGCCTTTACTAAACCAACAGGAATTGCTGGTGTTCGCTACCGGCATAGAAGATCCCGAGACAGTGAGTTCTGAAGAGCCAGTTGAAAGTGATGGTAGTAGCAATGAAGACAGTGGTACAGATGATAGTGGCGCTGAGGCTATGGCAATGAGGTCCCTGGCTAAACACTTGCAAAACACATCCATTCTTCAGACTAGTGTCGATAGTCTCCCACCAGATGTGGAGACACAACCTGACCTGCTTTCTGTGTGTTCTGATGATGACGCTGGTGATCAGCATGGAGAAGGGATTAAGAAAGTATCAGAATCTGGGTCATCTGCATACATCACTCTGGCATCAATAACTTCCACCCAGAGCTCTCCGCCTGTACATCACACAGAAGAGAAACCAGAGAAATCAAGAGCTGGGTCATATGTGACACTTTCCACTTCAACAAATGAAAGCATGCCACGAAATCAAATCAAAGGTTCAAGCATTCTACAGAGGTCGTCAGGAGCTAGCAGTACAGTTGACAACCCTTTTGTCCCTGTTCAATCAATGCAGTCTCCTGTGAGTACTGCAGCAGCTACAGGTTACAGTGCTACAAAGGGCAACGGTCTGAATGCTGAGAATCAAACACCACGCAGCTCAGACCTGTCCCCCTACCAAAACCAACCAAACCCTAAAGAAACATCACAATTCAAAAGCGAGGGATTTGCTAGTGTTTCTTGCAAATCACCAGATGAACTGTTGGGTTCGCTCTCTAAGGACAGCATCCAGAAAGGGTTGGGATCTCTTGCTCTAACAGATCTCTTGTCTGATATTGACGATGATTCCTTTAAAGAAGAGCCATCCCCACTGATTACTGATCTACAGGAAGAAAGTGAAGATGATGATGGTGACTTTCAAGCTGAGTTGAGCCTTGGTATGTTTTCTCTTCTAGAAAGCAATGTTGACTTGGAGCTCAACAAGTTGGCAGAGCAGCCATCCTTTTCTCTAGAAGAGGAACGTAACCATTTCAATTCACAGCCTTGCACAGATATGGAGCTGGACAGTGCAAAGGAATCTACGAGCAACGTCACAAATAACAAACTTCACGAGCTCGATCGAAAAGAGGACAGTACCTTATCAGAAGAGAGCCAGTTAAGCCTGGGTAAATTGGCCCATCCAATGAGCAATGTCGGCTTAGAGCTCAGCAATTTGTCCGATCAGTCACTCTTTGCCCTAGAAGGGGAACACGCCAATTGCAAAATACAGCCTCATGCAGATAGAGAGATGGACAGTGCAAGTGTGTCTGGGGACTACATCAGTAATCGAGAGCTTCTTCAACACAATCCAGAAGAGAACAGCACTTTCTCAGAAGAGAGCCAAGTAGTTGACAGCTCGCCAGGTTTCAATCCCTACCAATTTTTGGCCGTCAAAGAATCAACCAATCATACTGATGTAACCGACCAATTGTTCCATTTCATGCCAGAGCTGACAAATAATGAAGACTGTGGGGAGGAGAGTGACCCAGACAACGAAGATGCTGATGAGACCAGTGACACTGAACTTGGTTCATCATGTGGGTCTGTGGGGCATTCCCCTGGTAAGATTAAAGTCTTAAATTGCGCAACCTTGGTGTTTGATCAAGGGCAAGAGGAACTCGCAATGAAGAAATTTTCCTTGAATAATCTCTCAAAGGAAACATTGAAATCAACCGGGTTTCCTGTTTTCAAAGAGGACCACTTCCTGGGCCAAGAAATTAATTCCCTGTGTTCAAATCAACTGGATGATGCACGCAATGAAGATGGTTGCTCTCTTAATGGCGACCAGGAAGGGGAATGTGGTGTCCAAGGAAACATTTGGGTAGACCCCGGTTGCAGGGAAATAGGTGATGTTAAAGGTAAATCCAGTTCGAGTGATTTGTGAAATCCTTGACAAAAGTCCATAAAATGTCTTCTTAGATGTGGTTGGATGTATCTTACCCCTGAGCCCCATAGGACATGTGTGAGAATTTTCGTACTTGTATCACGTTAATGTACCCATGACCTTTTCTTTAAACTTTCCAAAGGTGTTCAGGGAGGATATGCCCATTTAAACAAAACGCGATTTTAAAATCATTTGCCGCCATTTTGGCTCATCATTCGCCTCAGTGTTCTCACAGTGCTCCGTAACAATGGAGCTGTGACGTAGATGACGGGGCACGTGACTTAATAGGCTGCAGGAAAACGAAATAAAAAATATCGAAGAGATGACTTTCTAGGACAAGGTCTGAACACTCACTTCTTCCTTTATTTTGTTAATACGACACACGTTGAGAATAGGCCATTTCTGGGCTAGCTTTTGCCTCTGTTTTAAAACGAGTCCTCGAGGAAACGAATTTTCATAAGAATAGTTTCGCACGAAGACTTCTTTTGACACAGGTAAAAGGCAACTCAGATAGGCGCTATTAATGCGGATTCATTAATCTGCCCCATGCAAGCCCGTCGGCCATCTCAGTCAGCTGCGTGGAGGGACAGCAAAGAAAAACGCACGTTCTGTTGAAATTGCAATATTTTTTCCCCCATAGTTTTTTTTGTGTAGATTTATGCAAGAAATTAAAAAAATGAAGCTACTGTCCCTCGGTGAGATACCTATATGATTCACTTCTGAAGCAATTGTCTACTTTTGTCAAACAGTAGTCGTTTTGTCAAATAAGCGGCTTGAAACACTTATGGGGAGCAGCGATGGGGCAGGAATGGCGCAGTGGTGACAGCATTCGCCTCCCACCGATGTGGCCTGGGTTCAATTCTGGCCCGGTGACATATGTGGGTTGAGTTTGTTGTTGCCTTGCCTTGCTCCGAGGGTTTTTCTATGGGCTTTCTGGCTTTCCTTCCTCCACAAAAACCAACATCTCCAAATTCCATTTCGACCAAGATGGAGGACGCTCATGAAAACCAGCTAGGGCTGATGTGGCTTCCTCTCTAAATATTGTAATTTATTTAAAGCTGCCAACCTTGGATTCATTTTATGTACCAGTTATTGCATTTAGCTCACATTACGTGATGTATTTCAGCTTGGCAGGGTCTCGCAAAAGAGCTTTTGTAAAGCTAATCTAGTGAAATGCCATTCCACAGAAATTACGGGGTCGACAGCTGGAACCTCAGATGGAAATTACATTGACAAAGAAGCGCAGCTTGTGGGGAACATGGATAATCACCGTGTCGGTGTATCATTGCTCAGACAGGCTCCTGATAAAGCTACAGAGGGAGAAGAAGATGAACCCATGGCATCCCTCAGTCGCTCTTCATCATCAGAGGGAATCTGGCCATCTCCTGATGCTGTGCAGAGGGGTTACCAACAGAGGAAATCAACAATTGGTATCCCATTCTTTACTAATTTAACAGTCAATATGACCTATGGAAAAACAGTTCACTTTAATAGAATGCCTTCATATTCAGGAGTACGAATAGGCAGCGACGAATTACCGGTGCAATAAGACTGAACGCTAATAACACGTATTAGGATACAACTTTCTTTCTCGAGATGTAGTACTCAGCAGCAAGACCTGGAACGCCCAGCAAGTTTCAAAAATTAGCATGTTGATTGCTGACAAGTTCATAACAAAATTTGGTTCTAGTTAGAATTATTGTCATGTAGACAAACTACAGTCTTGATTATAGCGCGGTTTTCATTTGAGTGTCGAAAAGTTTGTTTTCCACTTCCAACGCTACACGAATGGCTTTAAAAACTTGCGTAATCCAATCCCGAATAAAACCAAAACCAATCATGACTCGCTCGCTCACGTTTTCCTGCTCTTTGCGTCGGCTACATGTAATTACTTCAAGTTTTTGATTGGTTCACGGTATTGTCTGTGTCCTTTGTGATTGGCTAGAGTGATTACTTTGGTTCTGGTTGTACGCCACTCAATTGAAAAGCACTCTAAGCCTAGACATGAGGAAAAATTAGATAATATTAACAATATTTGTAAGAAAGATTCCCTAAAAACGGAATCCAAGTCAATCTTATAGAACATCTCTTACATCATGCAATCCACTATACTTTGCTGTCATTAGCCATCCTCATTAATCGGTGGACTTGAACTTTTGAAATCATTGTTTAGAGGGTGATCATGCCCTTGTCAAGTGAAGTTTTCTTAAAATGTCATCACCATTATCTTCTTCACACCAGATTCATGCTCTTCTGCGGGAGAGGAACAACCTACTTTGGACATGAGCAAGATTCCTCAGCAGCTTCAAATTCGTTATGAGCAGTTGCAAATACATAGAAAACTTGGCCAGGTAAGAAATTTTGACAGACAAATCATCACTGATGCTGGACGAATAACTAATTTTCAATGTCTCATTGGCTCTTTGATGCTATCTTTTGCAGGGGCAGTTTGGTGAAGTAAATCAAGCAACAATTGTTTCTACAGGCCCGTGCCCAAAGGTATTGTCATCAATAGATTGTTAATCGGTGATGTAAGAACTAATCATGGTGAGCAACTGCATTTTGTTGTGATGCAAGGTGCTCAGCAAAAATCCTTGTTACAAATTATGGGAGTGTGACAATTATTCTGTTCTTATTAGGGTAGTAAGAATCTCATTTTCCCTTAGGATAATCAAAGGTTGCATTGATGATTGCTATCCATGCAGGATAGCTAAACATGCAGGCCTGCACGACAAAGAGAGTAGAGGACTTTCTTACATTTGAATATTTTGTGACTCAATTGATAGTACCACTGTTATATTTGTAAATTACTGTACTTTAGATAATTTAAGATTGTAAAATGTACTCGTTAATTCAGTTGTTTTACTGCAAGAGAGTTTTAATAAACTACTTTACATATCATTAAAAAGGCCACTAACTCACTATCAGTTGAAAGCTTACTAGAACATGTTTTGTAGTGGGAAGATTACTTACAAGAATTCTTTTCCTGTAGAGAGAGGAAGTGGCTGTGAAAGTGTTGAAGGACAACGCATCACCAGAGGATTCCAGTGACTTCATCAATGAGGTTCAAAACATGATTGAGTTGGAATCAAAGCAGCATTGTCGATACATTATTAAACTGCGTGGGGTTACGAAAAGTATGTTAAATTTTACTTGTAGAGTTGCCCTAGATGAACGTTCTTAACAATGTACATAATAACTTTATGATTTGTATATCTCTAGCGAACGGTTTTCGTTGGCTAAATTGCTAACTCTCGCTTGCTCTGGGCGGGGGACCCTGGGAGTGAGGTTGAGTAAGACCATGGCACGTCTCAGCCACCTGGAAGTATCACTGCTTCGCACATCAATAATAAACGAATACATAACCAATCTGAACATGCTTTGTGTGACTCAAATTCTATAAGTAAAAATAGCCAGCTATTTGCCACCCCCTGTGCTGTGGCAGACTACCCAATAAATGTGCTTATTGATAAAGATTTCGTTAACAATCTGGGCTTATGATACCAAGAAAATTCACTAAATGCAACTGTTGGACTTACAAATCAGAGGTATTATATAGCAATTATAGGTATACTGTACTTACAGTGTGCAAACTTGATTACGAGCCTTGTAAAACCTGTAGTATTTTACTTAAATGAAAATAATTGATCCTTATGATCTTGCCATCTTTTAGATCCAAATGGAAAACTTATGTTGGTAACAGAACTTGCACCGTTGGGGTCTCTACAAGCTTATTTACCTAGAAACAAGGCAGGTTTAGTTATCTAACGTCATACCTGAGTAGTATAGTAGGCACCGTTTTGTCTAGTTTTTGTGGATGTAATAAACCTTATTAAGTGGAATTCATGAACCGGGACACGGGATTTTTTCTAATTATATAGTTTCTAAGAAAAATGATTGTTTTTGTTAGGACAGCACTCCAGAGCGTTGTTTGGGAAACCATAAATAGCGGCCACAGTGGATAATTTATGCAATAAGATTAAATTGAGAACACTTGCTCTATGATTTTTAATTACAGGAAAAAAGAATTCGTAGTGATAATAATAATAATAATAATAATAATAATAATAATAATAATAATATTTAATATTTCTAAGGCGCAAATTAACATGTGAATATGATCAAATGCGCCTATTGTGATGCCTCTATTGCGCGATACTTCAAACCGAGAGATAGACCTAGGACATGACGTCAACCCATTACTTTTGAGATTTTTGAACCATGAAGTTAATTCAGAAAAAGTGGAAAACTCGATGTGTACTACACATGTCTACATGTTGTTTTCTTCCATGTTTGATGGGACGATAAGATGCTGGTCTGCTTATAGACGTACCCACGTTTGATCTTTCAATTCTTGTTAGTAAAAGTACTTGGTGATTTTCTTTTTTAGATATACATTTTCGTCAAATTGTGAAAAGCCATTTCAACTAGTTTTAAGATAAATTCCGTGAAATGTATTCAGAGGTACATCGAGCGAATGAAAATATTACCAGCCTTTTTTGATCCCATCTGTCATTTACAATATTTGTTCCCTGCGATGTCAGTCTAATTTGCGCGCCATGACTTTTTTCAGGACATTTTGCAAATACCACAACTTCTTGAGTTTTGCATGCAGATCTGCAAAGGAATGCGATACCTGGTAAGTCTTGCTGAAGGCTTGGTTTGCATTTCAAAGGAGTTCCAAGCTCAAACGTTTAGATATTAGAATTTATGCATGCTTTTAACATTGATCAAGGTTTAGAAATGTTAGCGGCTCTCATAGCATTGAGATGCACAGTAGCCAGATGGCTACCGTACTGGACTCTGATTTTAGGGACTGGGTGTGGCCTCTGGGTCATTGCATTGTGTCCTTGGGCAAGAACGTTTTCTCCCAGTACCTCTCTCCAGGTGTTTCAATATGTACTGGCAAATTCAATACTTGAGGTGATTCTGAGATGGATTAGCTTCCTATCCAGGGGGAAAAAAGTGGTACTACACTCTCTGTTGCTTGATGTTAAACGAACTACGTCACTGTTTGCGCATCTTAAAAAGTTTTGCAAGTTCGTCTTTTAGAATCCGTGTCAATCTTTCTCCATCCTTAACCATCCTTGTTTATGTTTTTAGATCTTAGCAAACTATTATTTCCAGGTTTCCTTTAAAATTTGAAGGTAATTTGGCACATTGCCAAAGTAACTCAAACACCACGACGGAGCTTCTTTTAATAAACTGTGATGAGCTCCAATGTCTCTACCAGGAACACTTTGGCCCGATGCAGAATTGACCTTGTTGTAGATTAGATTAAAGGAGTAATTATTTTGCTCTAATTTTCTGCTTTAAGGAACAACAATCATTACTGCATAAAGACCTCGCTGCAAGGAACATCCTCGTAATGAGGGAGGACCTTGTAAAGATTAGCGACTTTGGCTTGTCAAGGTTACAGGATTACTACAAACTTCAGGAGTCCAGTAAAATACCTGTGAAGTGGTATTTATCTATCCCATGCTTTTATTTTTCTTTATGAAAACATTGTGTCTAAGCTATTTTGCAACGTGCGGAGGCGCTGTTGGCCTCATGGTTAGTGCACTCGCCTCCGGATCGAGCGGTCCGGGTTCGAGACCTGGCCGGGGACATTGTGTTGTGTTCTTGGGCAAGACACTTTACTTTCAAAGTCTCTCTCTCCACCCAGGTTTATAAATCGATACCGGTGAACTTAATGATGGTGGGTACCACTGCGATGAAACTAGCATCCCATCCAGGGGGGAGTAGAAATACTCCTCGGCGCTTCATGCAACTAAATTAAGAATTACCTATTTACCCTTTATTTTACCTATTTTGTAACATATAACTGGTGGTGCAAGGCTAGCGCAGAAGTGAGAGCGCTCTCCTCCCACCAATGTGGCTTGGGTTTGAATCCTACACACGACCTCATATGTTTGTGGAGTTTATTCTTCTTTTTTATCCTTGCTGGAAGGGGTTTTTCCGAGTTCTCCAGTTTCCCTCGTTCTACAAAAAGCAACATTTCTAAATTCCAGTTCGATTGCGAATCCTATGGCCATGGGTTTGGCAGTCGTAAGTGCGTTATGCACCACCCTCGTTGAACGAAGTTGATTTAGTTCATATGCATTTTAATTGGTATACAAAGTGTGATGTCTAAACACTTTACCGACGAAATCGAATGTAGATGTAGAAGTGCGCAAAGTTTAATCACCAGCTATGTATCCTTTCTTTGTTTTCTTTTGTTTTTAAACTTCATTCTATTTTAATTGCAGCTGAGCGCAATTTTTATCCCTCATTTAAACCCGTCTGTTTTACATTCACAATGTTTAGCCATTGATTGTATTCAAATGTTCAGTATATGAAAATTTGCGCTTGAGCAATAGAGCACTTTTTCTGTGTTGACATAGCCTCATCTAAGCTCTAGCTATTTAAAACAATAGAATTCACATTAGCCGCCGTATCGCCGAAACTAGGGAACTTAAGCAAACCACGACGACGACGGCAACGGGAACGTCACCAAACAAAAGGTTTAATGAGCAAAACAATAGATGTGCACGTGCGTTTTAAATCTCTGTACATTTCTTTGCCGTTCTCTGCAAGACAACAACTTAAAATGACCAAGTTCTGCGTCGTCCGAGGAACGCGAACGACGACGGCTAATTTTTCGTATTTCCATTTGGAATTGAACGCTGTCATGGCATATCTAGCCTGAGCACGTTTTTAGAGCCATTGGCGTACTTAACAGTTCTAGACAATTGCGAATGTCGCTGGTAAAATATAAATTCATTTTTGGCTTGTCGTCGTCCTCGGCATCGCCGTCGTCGTTGCTTAAGTTCCCTACTGTCCATTCGAGACAGTTATGCAAACCCGAGACGCATGGAGAAAAAACTCCATTACTTTTATAGAATATTTCTCAAGAATACGCGCGAATCTAAAACGTCACAATCATGTTTACGTACTCTCATCATAAACACACCTATCGACCATTGAATGCGCGCGTAGTATCTCAGTTATTTTACAAAACATGTGATTATTGTGCTTTGCACCAATCCCAGGTACGCCTTGGAGAGCTTGCTTAAGCAACGCTTCACCCCCAAAAGTGACGTGTGGAGCTTTGGGGTAACTATGTGGGAGATTTTTACCTTCGGAGACAAGCCATATGGTGACATGCAAAATATTGAGGTAGGGGGAATGTCACTAGCATGTTCTTTCAAAACGTTTGAGTGTGCAAATTAAACCCTATTTTATGACCATCAGGTGAAAGTTATTGAACAGTACTTTCATGTCGTATTGTGTAGTATATTTTCTTTTGAGGTCCATCCGTCAGTTCATTATTAATTTATGTTTATGTCGTGAATAAAAAAAGCGTTATATTTGGCAACTTATCTGTTTCTGGCTTTTAAAAGAAAATCTTAATTTTAGAACAGGAGTTATTTGTGAACGGTTCATAACAAGCATGATATTATTCTGTTGCATCGACCTCAAACAGAGTGACCTAATTTGAGAAACAAAAGACGGATGGAAGTTTACTAGCACTGACCAATGACTGCCGACAAACTTTGCGCGAACCTTACAACCAATACTGTCTCGGCTAAACTCATCAATTAGTTTCAACGGACCAGACTTATAACACCATCGCCTGACAAACACTTTAAGATGACTTCCGCTCAGGTTTGTGACTATTCGAATATTTCTCTGTTGTTATCTATAGCTTCCTGGATTTCTTGAGGCGGGACAGCGACTCGCCTGCCCAGTAGGGTGCCCACAGAAGGTGTATGACGTCATGTACAATTGTTGGCTTAAAGAGGCCTTAAAACGGCCAACATTTTACTTGATCGAAACCGACTATTTGACAGCGTTGCTGAAAGAATATCCTGTTTCTGGCTAATGAAAGAAAATCTTAATCTTAACGCAGGAGTTGTTTATGCATGGGAAATCCGTTACTCTTTAAGTAACAAGTGTGATATTGTTATTTCTTTAACAAGTTATTACCATCAAAGTATAGTTTGCAGATCAAGAGCACTGGATTAAAATCCTGGTGGAAGTTATTGTACTCTACTTGCTGGCATTCCCCATCTACGTATATAAACGGGTACTAAAACAAACTTCCTCTCAGGGCAACCTTAATAAAATGCTGAGAGGTAAGCCTTGGGTGGACTAGCTTCCCTGCTAGGGGAGGGGGAGTAGCATCCCATCCAGGTGGGAGTAGCATCTCAGCTGGGGGAGTAGCAATACTCTTAGTCGACTCACGCGCAAATTGGGTGACACAGACCACTGTTCGCATGGGTAGACTCGCGTTAATCTGCTATAGATGAAGATTCTGGCTATTTCAGCCCCCTCCCACTAACTCCTACTCTTAAACTGCTTCTCCCTCGCTGTGTTACCTTCACAGGACCGTCTAGACCGAACACTTCTAAAGCTCCTCCACCTTCCCTGTTAGCATTAAATTGTCACGAATAAGACCAGCATTAGGGTGCTTAAAGGTTGGCCTGCTATACACCCACTGATAGTTCCGTATGTCGCAAAGTTTACCGGTCTATTTCTCAACTAGTGAAATAACTAGTTCAACAGGGTTTGTGTATAAATTGTATCCAGCGGTTAATTTTATCCCAGACTGTTACGCCATTCAGAAATAGCAAGGCTATTGCTCTTAGTCTGTAGTTTACTTAGGGTAAATTTTCGTCTTGAAGGCGTTTCGAATACTTGTTGTTAGTTCGTAAGGTCTGTCGTGTCTGTAGCTTTTCTGTAGGTACTTTAAGAATGTTCATTAGGTTAGGAATGTAACATAATGTAGAAAAGAAACTGAACAGTCAATGCAGTTGAATGTGACAATGCAAGTATTAACTGTGTGAAGCCGGAATCCAACTAGAACGACAGTCGGCGAGAGTTGAAGAAAGTTCAAAAACGTATCTCTCATTTTACGGCTAACTCATGTCCATTTATCGAATTGGAAGCCGCTGAAATTTGCTGGAGATTTGACGCAAGATTTCTCTCGTTTGACATGAAGGTAATGTTAAGTCTCGTATGCTGTTAGCTCAATTGACTGCAAACTGATGATAGTCGATAACTGTTGAAGAAATTAAAACTCTCGTCCAACACTCGTTAGCTGTCGTTTTTGTTGTTCATACAAAGAGTTCAAGATTAAGATTATGTAACTATAGGAGTCGTAGTTTTTAGTCAAGTACAAGACTGAGTGTCTTCAAAGTGTGTTGTTTGGTAGAAATGACCCTAATATGGACGGTCAAAGTAGCCACTGAAAATATTAAACGGTCATTAATAGCCCGAAAAAATTCTATCTTTTTGCGGTAAGCTGCTTGTACTAAGTACCAAGCTTTGTCATTAGTTGTTTATCGTCGTGAAAAGTTTACATTTTTTTTATTCCAGAGTATATCTGAAACAAAGTGAGAAAGCACGGCAAGAAAATAGAGAACGATTGCCGTGCTGTAAGTTATTAAAGAAGGTTATTAAAGAAGGTTATTAAGAGCGGTTTTCATTTGATTGTGGAAAAATAATTAGTTTTGCGTAACTACGCTACGCGATTGGCTTAACAAGCTGGCGCCACTTTTTCATCCAATTAGAAGTGACGAAAACCAATCGTGACTCGCTCGCTCACGTTTTCCCGCTCTTCGCGTCAGCTACATGTAATTACTTCGAGTTTTGATTGGTTCATTGGAATGTCTGTCTCCTTTGTGATTGGCTAGAGTGATTACTTTGGTTTTTGTTTCACGACACTCAATTGAAAGCCGCTCTTTTCGAGTTGTTCTTCACACTCGTAGGAAGCTAACGCTCCATGAAATTAAAATTTAAAAAGAAGTCGTATTGAAATTAATATTTGCCTTTTGATTTGGGTGATGCATCAATTTTCAGGTTCTTCCTTATCGCACATGTCGTCGTTATCTTGCTCTGCTTAGCAGAAAGATCCACAAATGGTGTTTTCTTTAGNAATAATAATAATAATATTTAATATTTCTAAGGCGCAAATTAACATGTGAATATGATCAAATGCGCCTATTGTGATGCCTCTATTGCGCGATACTTCAAACCGAGAGATAGACCTAGGACATGACGTCAACCCATTACTTTTGAGATTTTTGAACCATGAAGTTAATTCAGAAAAAGTGGAAAACTCGATGTGTACTACACATGTCTACATGTTGTTTTCTTCCATGTTTGATGGGACGATAAGATGCTGGTCTGCTTATAGACGTACCCACGTTTGATCTTTCAATTCTTGTTAGTAAAAGTACTTGGTGATTTTCTTTTTTAGATATACATTTTCGTCAAATTGTGAAAAGCCATTTCAACTAGTTTTAAGATAAATTCCGTGAAATGTATTCAGAGGTACATCGAGCGAATGAAAATATTACCAGCCTTTTTTGATCCCATCTGTCATTTACAATATTTGTTCCCTGCGATGTCAGTCTAATTTGCGCGCCATGACTTTTTTCAGGACATTTTGCAAATACCACAACTTCTTGAGTTTTGCATGCAGATCTGCAAAGGAATGCGATACCTGGTAAGTCTTGCTGAAGGCTTGGTTTGCATTTCAAAGGAGTTCCAAGCTCAAACGTTTAGATATTAGAATTTATGCATGCTTTTAACATTGATCAAGGTTTAGAAATGTTAGCGGCTCTCATAGCATTGAGATGCACAGTAGCCAGATGGCTACCGTACTGGACTCTGATTTTAGGGACTGGGTGTGGCCTCTGGGTCATTGCATTGTGTCCTTGGGCAAGAACGTTTTCTCCCAGTACCTCTCTCCAGGTGTTTCAATATGTACTGGCAAATTCAATACTTGAGGTGATTCTGAGATGGATTAGCTTCCTATCCAGGGGGAAAAAAGTGGTACTACACTCTCTGTTGCTTGATGTTAAACGAACTACGTCACTGTTTGCGCATCTTAAAAAGTTTTGCAAGTTCGTCTTTTAGAATCCGTGTCAATCTTTCTCCATCCTTAACCATCCTTGTTTATGTTTTTAGATCTTAGCAAACTATTATTTCCAGGTTTCCTTTAAAATTTGAAGGTAATTTGGCACATTGCCAAAGTAACTCAAACACCACGACGGAGCTTCTTTTAATAAACTGTGATGAGCTCCAATGTCTCTACCAGGAACACTTTGGCCCGATGCAGAATTGACCTTGTTGTAGATTAGATTAAAGGAGTAATTATTTTGCTCTAATTTTCTGCTTTAAGGAACAACAATCATTACTGCATAAAGACCTCGCTGCAAGGAACATCCTCGTAATGAGGGAGGACCTTGTAAAGATTAGCGACTTTGGCTTGTCAAGGTTACAGGATTACTACAAACTTCAGGAGTCCAGTAAAATACCTGTGAAGTGGTATTTATCTATCCCATGCTTTTATTTTTCTTTATGAAAACATTGTGTCTAAGCTATTTTGCAACGTGCGGAGGCGCTGTTGGCCTCATGGTTAGTGCACTCGCCTCCGGATCGAGCGGTCCGGGTTCGAGACCTGGCCGGGGACATTGTGTTGTGTTCTTGGGCAAGACACTTTACTTTCAAAGTCTCTCTCTCCACCCAGGTTTATAAATCGATACCGGTGAACTTAATGATGGTGGGTACCACTGCGATGAAACTAGCATCCCATCCAGGGGGGAGTAGAAATACTCCTCGGCGCTTCATGCAACTAAATTAAGAATTACCTATTTACCCTTTATTTTACCTATTTTGTAACATATAACTGGTGGTGCAAGGCTAGCGCAGAAGTGAGAGCGCTCTCCTCCCACCAATGTGGCTTGGGTTTGAATCCTACACACGACCTCATATGTTTGTGGAGTTTATTCTTCTTTTTTATCCTTGCTGGAAGGGGTTTTTCCGAGTTCTCCAGTTTCCCTCGTTCTACAAAAAGCAACATTTCTAAATTCCAGTTCGATTGCGAATCCTATGGCCATGGGTTTGGCAGTCGTAAGTGCGTTATGCACCACCCTCGTTGAACGAAGTTGATTTAGTTCATATGCATTTTAATTGGTATACAAAGTGTGATGTCTAAACACTTTACCGACGAAATCGAATGTAGATGTAGAAGTGCGCAAAGTTTAATCACCAGCTATGTATCCTTTCTTTGTTTTCTTTTGTTTTTAAACTTCATTCTATTTTAATTGCAGCTGAGCGCAATTTTTATCCCTCATTTAAACCCGTCTGTTTTACATTCACAATGTTTAGCCATTGATTGTATTCAAATGTTCAGTATATGAAAATTTGCGCTTGAGCAATAGAGCACTTTTTCTGTGTTGACATAGCCTCATCTAAGCTCTAGCTATTTAAAACAATAGAATTCACATTAGCCGCCGTATCGCCGAAACTAGGGAACTTAAGCAAACCACGACGACGACGGCAACGGGAACGTCACCAAACAAAAGGTTTAATGAGCAAAACAATAGATGTGCACGTGCGTTTTAAATCTCTGTACATTTCTTTGCCGTTCTCTGCAAGACAACAACTTAAAATGACCAAGTTCTGCGTCGTCCGAGGAACGCGAACGACGACGGCTAATTTTTCGTATTTCCATTTGGAATTGAACGCTGTCATGGCATATCTAGCCTGAGCACGTTTTTAGAGCCATTGGCGTACTTAACAGTTCTAGACAATTGCGAATGTCGCTGGTAAAATATAAATTCATTTTTGGCTTGTCGTCGTCCTCGGCATCGCCGTCGTCGTTGCTTAAGTTCCCTACTGTCCATTCGAGACAGTTATGCAAACCCGAGACGCATGGAGAAAAAACTCCATTACTTTTATAGAATATTTCTCAAGAATACGCGCGAATCTAAAACGTCACAATCATGTTTACGTACTCTCATCATAAACACACCTATCGACCATTGAATGCGCGCGTAGTATCTCAGTTATTTTACAAAACATGTGATTATTGTGCTTTGCACCAATCCCAGGTACGCCTTGGAGAGCTTGCTTAAGCAACGCTTCACCCCCAAAAGTGACGTGTGGAGCTTTGGGGTAACTATGTGGGAGATTTTTACCTTCGGAGACAAGCCATATGGTGACATGCAAAATATTGAGGTAGGGGGAATGTCACTAGCATGTTCTTTCAAAACGTTTGAGTGTGCAAATTAAACCCTATTTTATGACCATCAGGTGAAAGTTATTGAACAGTACTTTCATGTCGTATTGTGTAGTATATTTTCTTTTGAGGTCCATCCGTCAGTTCATTATTAATTTATGTTTATGTCGTGAATAAAAAAAGCGTTATATTTGGCAACTTATCTGTTTCTGGCTTTTAAAAGAAAATCTTAATTTTAGAACAGGAGTTATTTGTGAACGGTTCATAACAAGCATGATATTATTCTGTTGCATCGACCTCAAACAGAGTGACCTAATTTGAGAAACAAAAGACGGATGGAAGTTTACTAGCACTGACCAATGACTGCCGACAAACTTTGCGCGAACCTTACAACCAATACTGTCTCGGCTAAACTCATCAATTAGTTTCAACGGACCAGACTTATAACACCATCGCCTGACAAACACTTTAAGATGACTTCCGCTCAGGTTTGTGACTATTCGAATATTTCTCTGTTGTTATCTATAGCTTCCTGGATTTCTTGAGGCGGGACAGCGACTCGCCTGCCCAGTAGGGTGCCCACAGAAGGTGTATGACGTCATGTACAATTGTTGGCTTAAAGAGGCCTTAAAACGGCCAACATTTTACTTGATCGAAACCGACTATTTGACAGCGTTGCTGAAAGAATATCCTGTTTCTGGCTAATGAAAGAAAATCTTAATCTTAACGCAGGAGTTGTTTATGCATGGGAAATCCGTTACTCTTTAAGTAACAAGTGTGATATTGTTATTTCTTTAACAAGTTATTACCATCAAAGTATAGTTTGCAGATCAAGAGCACTGGATTAAAATCCTGGTGGAAGTTATTGTACTCTACTTGCTGGCATTCCCCATCTACGTATATAAACGGGTACTAAAACAAACTTCCTCTCAGGGCAACCTTAATAAAATGCTGAGAGGTAAGCCTTGGGTGGACTAGCTTCCCTGCTAGGGGAGGGGGAGTAGCATCCCATCCAGGTGGGAGTAGCATCTCAGCTGGGGGAGTAGCAATACTCTTAGTCGACTCACGCGCAAATTGGGTGACACAGACCACTGTTCGCATGGGTAGACTCGCGTTAATCTGCTATAGATGAAGATTCTGGCTATTTCAGCCCCCTCCCACTAACTCCTACTCTTAAACTGCTTCTCCCTCGCTGTGTTACCTTCACAGGACCGTCTAGACCGAACACTTCTAAAGCTCCTCCACCTTCCCTGTTAGCATTAAATTGTCACGAATAAGACCAGCATTAGGGTGCTTAAAGGTTGGCCTGCTATACACCCACTGATAGTTCCGTATGTCGCAAAGTTTACCGGTCTATTTCTCAACTAGTGAAATAACTAGTTCAACAGGGTTTGTGTATAAATTGTATCCAGCGGTTAATTTTATCCCAGACTGTTACGCCATTCAGAAATAGCAAGGCTATTGCTCTTAGTCTGTAGTTTACTTAGGGTAAATTTTCGTCTTGAAGGCGTTTCGAATACTTGTTGTTAGTTCGTAAGGTCTGTCGTGTCTGTAGCTTTTCTGTAGGTACTTTAAGAATGTTCATTAGGTTAGGAATGTAACATAATGTAGAAAAGAAACTGAACAGTCAATGCAGTTGAATGTGACAATGCAAGTATTAAATGTGTGAAGCCGGAATCCAACTAGAACGACAGTCGGCGAGAGTTGAAGAAAGTTCAAAAACGTATCTCTCATTTTACGGCTAACTCATGTCCATTTATCGAATTGGAAGCCGCTGAAATTTGCTGGAGATTTGACGCAAGATTTCTCTCGTTTGACATGAAGGTAATGTTAAGTCTCGTATGCTGTTAGCTCAATTGACTGCAAACTGATGATAGTCGATAACTGTTGAAGAAATTAAAACTCTCGTCCAACACTCGTTAGCTGTCGTTTTTGTTGTTCATACAAAGAGTTCAAGATTAAGATTATGTAACTATAGGAGTCGTAGTTTTTAGTCAAGTACAAGACTGAGTGTCTTCAAAGTGTGTTGTTTGGTAGAAATGACCCTAATATGGACGGTCAAAGTAGCCACTGAAAATATTAAACGGTCATTAATAGCCCGAAAAAATTCTATCTTTTTGCGGTAAGCTGCTTGTACTAAGTACCAAGCTTTGTCATTAGTTGTTTATCGTCGTGAAAAGTTTACATTTTTTTTATTCCAGAGTATATCTGAAACAAAGTGAGAAAGCACGGCAAGAAAATAGAGAACGATTGCCGTGCTGTAAGTTATTAAAGAAGGTTATTAAAGAAGGTTATTAAGAGCGGTTTTCATTTGATTGTGGAAAAATAATTAGTTTTGCGTAACTACGCTACGCGATTGGCTTAACAAGCTGGCGCCACTTTTTCATCCAATTAGAAGTGACGAAAACCAATCGTGACTCGCTCGCTCACGTTTTCCCGCTCTTCGCGTCAGCTACATGTAATTACTTCGAGTTTTGATTGGTTCATTGGAATGTCTGTCTCCTTTGTGATTGGCTAGAGTGATTACTTTGGTTTTTGTTTCACGACACTCAATTGAAAGCCGCTCTTTTCGAGTTGTTCTTCACACTCGTAGGAAGCTAACGCTCCATGAAATTAAAATTTAAAAAGAAGTCGTATTGAAATTAATATTTGCCTTTTGATTTGGGTGATGCATCAATTTTCAGGTTCTTCCTTATCGCACATGTCGTCGTTATCTTGCTCTGCTTAGCAGAAAGATCCACAAATGGTGTTTTCTTTAGTTATGGTAAGCGTTAACTTCCTTTACCAAAAAATATCAGTTTCGTGGGACATGTTTGTATAAATGACAACCGTTAATTTACTGTCATTATGCATTCTAATTTAGTAAGGGCTATGTAAAGCCCCTAAACAACCCGGCCTTGTAGTCTAGAACAGGTGCACCAATGTCATCTCAAAGATGTCTGTTGTGTTACTTAGTGTTAGTCTACTCAGGTCTCACTCTGGTTGACGCTTGTCTGAGGGAGATCTGGGTTGGAGACTAACTTAGTGTAAATGTTAGTCTTTGTGCTGCTATGACAATAAAACATCAAACTCGCATCAAAGTTGTTGTGGGATACAAACTCCATGCAGAGACAATTGCAATGTGAATTTAATTTAGTTATTCAATCTATAAAACGTTGCAACGTGTTCAGGATACTTACATTCACCAATCCCTTGCATGATTTGATCCTTCTTCTATTTTACAGATTTTAGTAAGAACCTTTTTTAAAAGAACATTGAGGCTGACATTAACCCAGATTTTAAAGATGATTTCCTGTCCGTACTGCGCAGTCTCAGCACCCTAATGTTTATAAACATAAAAAAAACCCACTCGATAGAATACGAATCGATGTTTTTCGTTACGAACCACATAACTTATCTTTGAGGCCTTTCAAATTCTTTTTCCAACTGCTTCATTGATTTTCTGATTTTTACAGCTGTAAAGTTGTTTCATCAAGTGATATTAGAAAGAACGCAACGTAAAGCTCCGCGTCGCTTCACGTCCCGTAATGGCGACTCGATGGCGGTTGACATGAATGCATGAAACAAAACAAAAACGTAACGACCTCTCAAGAGTGCGCAGTACGGACTGGAAATCATCTTAAAGAACATGCGAAGAAAACGCCCCAGGTTGAGAGTCACCAGAGGAAGTTTATTTTGGCAACTTTTGGTAAAATGTAAAACTTGCATCTATACATGGAAAAAAACAGTGCAATAACCAAATGCTTCTAACGACATACATAAAGAAGCTCGTTACAGACAATTTGATATATTCAAGAGAGAGTGTGTATATTTATGCGAGAAATTTACTCTTATAAGTCCCTGGTCGCGTACAAATGCCAGAAATGGCAAGAATACCGTACATCAGTCCCAAAATTAGAAGTTCTTACAAAAAAGAATGTGTAATAAATCTACGGCTTCGACGCGACCCTGATATTTTGATGATTCTTTCCCGGTGGTAAAATGTCGTGTATCAGTTCGCAAATTGAAAAGAAACCATGCAGTGGCTGCACATGACAAGCCATAAACACCCAAGTTATAGACTTTGGGGCCCTTTGGGGCCGCACATTTCTATATAGCCCATATAAGGGAGTACCCCCCCCCAACCCACCCCCGGGGCTAAATCTTAAGATGACTGAGCAACTTCTCTGACCTTTGAGTTCAATTGGCATCTACTGGACATCCTTGCATGGAAACTAGGGGCGGTGTTGGTCGGGGTTAGACAAAGAAAACCGATAAGCATTCTCCTTTCCTCGGTGCGGTCAATCCTCGAATTTTCAAATAGCAGAAAGGAAATGTCCAAAGCCAATGAAAGCCTTACTTATAACGTGAAAGTTGTGTGGAAAGCCAAAAGTATTTTTGTTTCGTTTCCTCAAAAACGAAACGGTATTGTTTTCAGTTCAGGGTGAATATTTACATAGCGATTTGTAATATCCAATCAGAGTAAAGGTCGTAGTTGTTAATGTAAATACGGCGGCGGCAAAATTTCAGCCAAAACTCGTTGCATCGCAACAAAATGTGTCATTTTGCAACACTGCCGTGAAACTCTTGTTTCTCGGTATTATCTTACACAAGAAAACTGCGAACTGGACTTGATAGTGATAGTGAAAAAGAAATATATTTTCGA